ACACACCATCAATCAATGACTTGGGAGAGAAAAAGGATAAATATTTTATTTGTTCTCAAGGTATAGAGCAGCCCCAAAGTCTCATCAAATATATTGATGTCAGCATGCATGACAAATGTCATACTTCAGAATCTCAATTAATTTTATCGTGACTTTTTTTATTTCTAAAATTTTAGTCAACAAATTATTTCCATAGAGAATTTGACAAAGACCAATTCTGAGAATAATAACTTCTCTCTCCAAAAGGATAATGCTTCAGACGTTTATTTCCCAGAGTCTAATATTACATCATCAGAGGCAAACATATTTATCATTCTGTACAAGATCCCATATTAAGATTTTTTAAAGATAAAAACGGATTTGTCCTCAACAATGAGTTTTGTAAAGATATCATCCCATTGATGGTCTGTATCAATAAATTTAAAATTTAAAATATTATTCTGAACATAGTCTCTTATAAAATGATGTTTAATCTCAATATGTTTAGCCCTGAAGTGCTATATAGGATTTTTGGATAAACACATGGCTGGAGTGTTATCATACATAATAGGAAAGTTATCTTCCTCAATCTAATAGTCTTCCAACTGACTCTTCATCTAGAGTACTTGAGTGCTACATGTTGGAACAAGTTTGGTTCGTCAACTAGTCCTTGGAGTTTTGATGATAACAAATATATATGTATAAAGAACAATTTTACTTCTAACGGTTTGTTAAAGTGTGCTGATTAATATTTTAGTTTTGGACTCTGATCATGCGTGTTGTGGACTCTGATCACACGCGTTGCAGGCTCTAGACAAAAGTGGTTCTAGAATCTGAACAAATCATCCATGAGACTCCGGACAACCAATTCATTCTGAACCAAAGCATAAAAGTGTTTACAATGACAATTTTGATTCTCATAGTATCAAGTCATCAACAAAAATATATTTATCCCAATCGACTATGATATCTAAAGACCTAGAAGACTCGAAGTTTCTTAAAGCACTAAAGACTGACTCTGATCAAGCTTCAACAATATTCATCATAAGCCTATGACTAAAAAAGATCGATATGAAGAAAAGATAGTAACTCTTTGTTGATCAAGCTTCAACAATATCCATCAGAAGCCTATGGCTCAAGAAGGTTACTTTGGAAAAGAGATAGAATGATAATATTAAAAGATATGGTTTGAGAAATTCAAACTTCACCGTCTAATGAATCTATTTTCATCTATTTAAGGTGTGCTTGAAGTCGAAGAAGAAGAAGGAATCATCAAGAACAAACAATGTAAAGTCTATTCAAAAGAGAGAAACACAAAAAGTTTATCATCAACATAAAGAAGAAAGTTGTTATTTTATTGAAATCTCCATAACTTTCATTTTTTGTTGTTGTAAATCTCATTGAATTGCAAATGTGTGTATCTTCTTGTTAAGAAACACTTTGTAAACACAACTCTTTGTAACTTAATCAGGTTGGTTAATTTTTCTTGGGGGACTAAAGGTTTAGTCAGGATCCTCGAGAAGACTTAGACAAGTTGTCTTTGTGGCTGTAATCAAAGGTTATGTGATTAGTGGATTAAGTCCTTATTAACAAGGAAAAATCATCTGGGTTAGATGGAATGGAGGTATCCTAGTTAACGGTGAACTAGGATAAAATCGTGTGCTCTTTATCCTTTTGCTATTGTTTATTTTTTGTTTAGATATTCGAAAAAGCTTTAAGACTTGAAACCCAACTCAAACCCCCTTCCTTGTGTTTCATTGAATCTTCAATTGGTATCAAAGCTCTAGTTCTAGTATTGGTTATTACCAAAACACTTAACCTTTTCAGATAAAGATCTAGTACTTGAAACACAAAATAACAGATGTTTCTCAAGCAAATACCAACAATGATAAAAATTATTTTGATGTCAAACCTCAAGTCTTTGATGGAGATAAGTTTAATTATTGGAAGGATATAATCCAAAGTTTCTTCCTCGGGTTCGATGTTGATCTATGGGATATGGTAACAAATGGTTACTCATATCCTGTTAATGACAGTGATGTCAAACTTGGTAGAAGTTCTATGAATGACCAACATAAAAAGGATAACAAAAATAATCATAGATCTAGAACCATTTTGTTGAACGTCATTTCATATACTGAGTATGAAAAGATAACAAATAAAGACTTTGCGATGTCTATATTTGATTCTCTTAAAATGACACATGAAGGAAATGAGCAAGTAAAGGAAACCGAGGCTTCAGCCTTAATTCAAAATTATGAATCCTTGAAGATGGAAGAAGATGAGACCATTGATAATAAGTTCTCAAGGTTTTAAACATTTTTGGTAGGACTGAAATTCTTGATAAAGGCTACACAATTGCATATCATGTTAAGAAAATTATCAGAAGTTTTCCAAAGAGATGGAGACCTATGGTGACTACTCTAAAGGTGTCTAAAAACCTTAACAATACTACTCTGGAAGAACTCATAAGTTCTTAAAGGAGTTATAAAATAGAACTTGAAGATGACAAGCCTCTGAAGAAAGGAAAATTTGTTGCTTTAAAGTCTAAAACCAAATATGAAAAGACTAAAGCTTTTCTAGTAGAAGAAAAATAATCAAAAGAAGATTCTGATGAAGAAGAAGAAGTGTATTTGTTGTCCAAAAGAATTAATCATCTCTAGAAGCAAAAACAAAGAATGCTCAAAGGCTACAAAAGATTTGATGGACGGGAAGAACCAACATCCGGGCAGAAGAAATTTGCTGCTAAAAGAGAGATTATTTGATTTTAATGCAAAGAACTTGATCACTTTAGAAACGAATGTACCAAACTTAACAAAGAAAGACCAAATAAGAAGTACTTCAAAGACAAGAAGAAAGGTCTGATGGAAACCTAGGATGACTCAGACTCCTCAAATGATGACTCTAGTGAAGATCAAGCAGATATGGCGTTGCTGGTAAAAGAAGAAGCAAGCAACTCTGAGTTAGAACCAGAATTAAACTTTGAAGAAGTATTTTCTCAACTATCTACCGTCCACCGAGCCCAGGTGATTTTTCCTTGTCAACAAAAACTTGATCCATTAATCAAATAACCTTTGATTACAACATCAATGACTACCAATTAAAGACTTCTCGAGAATCTTGACCAAACCTTTAGTTTATCAAAGAAGCTTAACCAACCTGGTTAAAATACAAGTGTTTGTGTTTACAAAATACTTCTTGAAAAGCTGATACACACAATTACAATGAGATATACAAAGAATGAATGTTATGAAGCTTTCATGAAATAACAGTTTTCTTCTTTGTTTTGATGCTCGGCCTTTTCTAAGTGTTTCTCTCGACTTTTTGTATTTGATTTCTATGTTTCACGTTTGTTGTTCTTGTGTAGTTGTTATCTACTTTCCATGGCTTCAAGCGCTCCTTTAAATAGATAGAAAATAGATTTGTTGGAGGGTAAAGTTGGAATTTCAAAATCAATTTCTTGAATGAAGACGTTGAGAGTACAATTGTAGAGTGGCGATACAGTTGTAGAGTGACACACAGTCCTTTGTCTAATCTCACAAAATAGTGGAATGATGATAATTTGTACTTTTATAATATTATCACACTATCTCTTTCCAATCTTCGCGAGTCAGAAGCTTCTGATAGATATTCGTGAAGTTTGATCAGAGTTCAGAGTTACTATCTTTTCTTCACATCTAACTTCTCGAGTCAGAGACTTCAGATAGATTTTGTTAAAACTTGATTAGAGTAAGTCTTCAGTGTTTGAGAAATGTCGATTCTTCAGAGTCTTTAGATATCATAGTCGGTCTGGATAAACTTCTTTTAGTAGATGAGTCGATACTTAATAGAAGCAGATTTGTCATCGTAAACACTTCTATGCTTAAGCTCAGAGTGCACTTGATTGTCCAAAGTTTCAGAGACGCTTTGTTCAGAGACCAGAACCACGTTCGTCCAGAGTCCACAACGCGCATGCTCAGAATCCAGAACTCAGATATAAGTCTGCACATTTAACAAATTGTTAGAGTCAAAATTATCTCCTATAAAAATATATTTGTTATTATCAAAACTTCAAAGGTTAGTTGATGAACCAAACTTATTCCAACAATGACAATCGTTACTTTTCCAACTATTCAGTTTTTCCGCACCTTTTAGAGGGGCAACCCCTTGCATATTCCATATTTTATTTTCTAAATTCACTTATGTGAAGGTATCCTCTTGTAACGACAATTTCAAAATTTTGAACAATTGAGCATGTGCTTAATAATGAGTTGAGTATATGTGGAGTGAAGATTTATAAAATTACATTACTACGTGAGTTTACAAAGAAAAAAGAAAAATAAAAAAAGAACATTTATATTATGTTTTTATAGTGAGGCTAATAGTTATTGTAGTTTTATTTATTTATATATAATCCTTATAAATATTTATATAGCGAAATTTAGTTGGACGCATACACCATTAGCGTGTATAATTATTAATCTCTTTTTTAATTATGTTATTTTTTTTATATGGAGTAGTGTGCTTGAATAATCTAAGTTGTATTAAAATTGAAAGTTGGTAAGAATTGGTAAAATATTTGATAGAGATAGACCTCAAGAAACAAAAGATTGGAGAGAACGACTCGTAGTCAAGTATACCATGTCTTTCAATACAATATACAGCGTTGGATTGAACAAATGTTTTATATTAAGTCACATGTATTATATTTGTCACTAAACCAATTAGCATGGAACGTTTGCAAAAGTAGTTAGTTTTGAAGTTTAAAGATGTAATTAGGTTTCTAAATATACTAAAACTAATAAACTAATTTTAGAGAAGATTGTGAAACTTGAAACTGGCCTAGCAATTTGAAAGAAAAGTCCTCCACCTTTCACTCCCATTTTGTCATATTGCGTCCAAGTAAACTTCCTTAATAATTGGTTGAAAAACTCAGACCCTGTCTACTTAGTTGCTTAAGTAATGGATCACAATCCAAAAGCATATTATATATAACTCATAACTTGTAATCTCAATCTCATCTCTCACTATCAATATTCAAAATGTCTTCATCATCCACAATGTTCCTCTTATATTCACTAGTAACAATGCTGTTACCTTTATCTATTACAGGTTTTGACATAACAAATTTTCTGCCCCAATATCCTACATATCGCAGTTACAGAAACTACATTACTAGGAAGTTACAGTACACTGCCCTGCCTCCTATTCCTATTGTATTACCTATTCCAGTTCCGGTTCCCGTGGTTTCTCCCGTGCCCGTGCCTGTAGTTTCACCAGTACCAGTACCAGTACCAACTCCTTTTCCAGTACCGGTGAGATCCCCAGCGCCTGTAGTTTCACCAGTACCCGCAGAAACTCCATTTCCAGCACCGGCAGCTGGACCAGCCGGTGCTCCAGGGCCAGCATTATCTCCTATGAGTCCAGATGGTGCTGCTGCTGCTGATAATACCGGAGAAGCTCCCAAAGCAGGGGTGATGAAGTCTGATGTGAACAAAGCTTTATCTCTTTTCCTTACGCTCTCCACGATCTATGCGTTGCTGTCTAGGCCCATGTATATTCATGATTAATTAATCTTACCACCACATCTCAGTCACACCTTAATACCCACAAAATTCTTTTACAAATACAATAATTTGTAATTCCAAAAATGTCATTGTCATTGTAATTTGTTATACTTGGAAAATGCAATCACTTGCATCATCCACAAGATGCTTGGCATGGAGCATAGAGTCGCCAGGAAGCAAAAAAGATCAATAATTTGTAATCATTTTCCCATACGCTTGTGATATAAAATGAGTTTTTTCTTGAGGAACTATGATTATGCATTGTTTATCATGAAACTATTATTTTGTTTGGAATGTTTAAAATGTTGTTGTGAAAGTGTAATGACAGATAGATATTTACATACTACTAGTATGTCCCGATAAGCTAGCTCAGATGCTACTAATGTGATACAGTTTGAGTTGTAAGAGAGAAAACTCATATGTTTTGTCTTATTAACTACTGTACTATATAGTTATAGACTAGTAATAAAAAAAGTAGGCCCCAGCAATGGTGGCAATGAAAGGATTGAGGTAACAAACTGCTGTACATGAGCAGCACTGCAGTTATGTTTATTTATTTGTGTTTGGTACTTTATGCAGTGTGATTTGAAGATTGTGATGAATTGGACCATACAAAGACTCTCCAGAAAGGACGCTTGTTGTTGTGTAAGACTTCAGTTTCTGTTTTCTGTAACATTTCCCACATGACTTGTACATCCTCATATTCACAAGTTTGTACATCATCCCTAAGCTTCACCAATCCTGCTCCTGTTGCATCATCACACAAACAAACATGTTAGGACCCCTCAATTATTAATATTATGCAACAAAAAAAGGGTAGTGTCATTAAAGTTTAGAAGGTGAACATAAGATAGGACAGTTTTTGAGAGCATTAATTCCGTGTCTAGGGGTCACTTATAGACTTTGACGTTGCTTTCAGGGCACGATGAAAGTTGCACTGAAAAAGATGTGGATCCTACTTTCTGTTTCGTTGCCACAAGCACAGGGCACTGACCAAAGGATAGGTCACCACTTGTGTGTATGATTATGATGGCTAAATAATTGAATAAAGAAAGTTGGTGGTATTAAGTAACCGAAATGAAGATAAGTAAATATATTGACAGATATCATAATAACCATGGTTGGTTAACCTAATTTAATCCATCGTCTCAGTCATTTCTGTATAATCTTGATTATATATAAAAATTGAATTTGTGTTGGTAAATAAGAATTGATGTGATGCATGTAAATAGTAGTATAGGGGAAGATTGATGAGATGAGATGAGATGAGAGGAAGATTTTTTTACCGTTTTTGCGGTGTTTGATGCGAGTGGAGAGAGCAAGGCAAAGACGCTTGACAGGGAAAATCATGGATTGCCAGATATGCATGAGTTTGTTGTTTTTGACAGTGGATGGTGCTAGTAGAACAGTCTTGTTCTTGTTCTTCTTCCTTTTTCTCCGAAATGGAACCAGAAATAATATCTTTAACCCGGCCAGTGCGCCACTGATCTGATCAATCGATCAGTGTTGGATATTCTCTTGTTTTGTTGTCTTGTGGTGGTGTTGGTGTTGGTGTGTAAGAAAGATGAAAGGACACGGATTCATATAGTGAGTCTTTGTTTATGAATGAATGAGGCTACTAACTAGTCTAAGCTATTTCCCTTATTTCCTTTCCTTTCCCACTTTTTCCACATTTATGTCTTAAGTTAGCAACATAACACAATGTCAGATCACCGACACGTGATCTCTAATTATTTTATTATTTACTATTATTTCTTCTCTATAATATATATTAATCCAACTTCTCATCCATCCATCTATAACTCAGATAGGAGGTAATTTTACTTAATTTAAATTAACTTACAATATAATATAATTACAAAAGCTTTTATGTTTATGATCAATTATTAGCGTTATATAATGTAGTATCTATGAAACATTAGGTACTAATTAAATGAAATGAAGTCTTTTATTCTTTTTATTTTACTTTGTTTATCTTCATTAAAGTTTAATTTTTCAACGTTTTCTAATTAGCTTCTTAATAATTGGTGCTCTCATTTTTGTTCTCATTCTCCCAAATTAAATGGATATTATGGTGTTTAGCGACGAGGATAATGCTTATGGGTGAGTGTTTGACATCGACAAATTATTAATAATTGTTGCAAGGTTCTCCTCTATAATGGTGGATTCAATGATCTCATTGTCATCTAATGGCAAGTCCGGAATCATTTATTCTTCCTTTTCTTTTGCACTTCAAACCTGAATGGCGACCAATTTTACCCATGTTAGATGAGGAAGAAGATCCAGATTCTGAATCGCTTATCGACGATGTTACCGATTCGATTACTGATTATGTATTAGATTAGGAAGAAGAGCCAGCACTAATGAAATCTACTGAAGCTTCTTCCCTCAATGGCGATTCTACTGTAGATGACTCTGAGTTCAACATTGATCTTGCTCTGTGTGTGGGATCAGATTCTGTCACTGACACAATTTTGGGTTCCTTCACTCCCTTCGATCCCGTTTCCAATGACTATGTATGCGCCAAGTGTGGTTTACTCTCTCAATCTTCAGGCTCAATCTCAAATTTCCTTTACAAACCCTCATTAATGGAGATATAGTCAAGATTTTCAACAGTGTTCGGGTTTTTTCAAAAGAAATTTTGGTTTTCATATCTAATTGTGATTTGCGGACCTACTCACAACCTTGAACCCTCTGATGATGCTGATTATGAAGTTCCACAAAAACCATAGTCAAGATTTTCAACAGTGTTCGGGTTTTTTCAAAAGCAATTTTGGTTTTCATATCTAATTGTGATTTGCGCACCTACTCACAACCTTGAACCCTCTGATGATGCTGATTATGAAGTTCCACAAAAAAATCCTGATATTATTTCAAAGATTGAAAGAACACACACACACACCTGAAGCATTTACGAAATTATGTGGATTTACCATTCCCCTACTGCCACCAAAACCTTCTTTCACAGCCACAACAGTGATTCCCACAAGGTATTCAACTCCTAGCTTATTTTCAAATCCAATTTTCATTGTGTTTGATTTGGCACATCTCATGGTGTTTAAGATCAAAACTCTTAATCTAAACTGTTAGGACAAAGTTTGGTTCTAATCATATCTTAAAGTTTTGATGATAACAATGAAATAAATTTTGTATAATATATTTTATACTTTGATGTGCATGTTTTCTAATTCAGATAATGTTCTGACTCAAGCATTCTCAAAAGTGAAAACATCATTCTACGCTGAGCAAAAAAAGGATAAAGAAGTTCCTAAAAAATCTTATGTAAACGCAAGTCTGAAGCAAACTCTGAAGGAAGCACTCTAAGGAAAACTCTGATAAAAAGTAATCTTAAGCAACCTCTGATATAGCTAGCTGAAGCAAAGATTTGAAAGAAGCACGCTGAAAGCAATATCTGATAATGCAAGCTGAAGCAAACTCTGATGAACATAAAATGAAGAAAACTCTGATAGAAGGAGTGATATAGCAAACTCTGATAGAATAAAAGTTAAAGCAAACTCTGATGTTGCAACGCTGCAAGAAAACTCTTAAACTTCCAGAGACAAGCTCTGACAGTACCGTTGATCATTTAATGCTAAGACGGCTAACGCACTCAAGTGATACTATGCACGAGAGCATTGGAAACATAAAGGTCAAGCTAACATGCATCATTAATGCATACTCTCTCTTCAAGGCAGTAACAATCAAAATTTAAAGTTATATATAGAAGACCATTTGTTTCAAAGCAAGATTATTGATCCACGAAAAATATACTGAAGCTCACTATTTTCATTCTTGTAAACTCTTTGTATATAGTGGGTAATTCTTAAGTGCTGGGCTAAAATCTTAGTGATAAATCACAGTTTATGATATAGCTTATTAGAAGCATTCTGATTCACTACTGTTAAGAGATAATCTTTGTAATTATTCCTTGAGAGATCAGTTGGGTCAGATTTCTCAAGAGGGCTAGAACTAGTTGAGTCTTAGAGGTGTTAGTCACTTGCAGTTGGCTTGTGCATTGTATTGTTAGTCACAACAGTTTGGTTATGCATTTGTAATCAGTTTTGATTATAGTGGATTAAGTCCTCGTTGAGAGAGGCGAAATCACCTTGGCGGGTGAACTGGAGTAGTTTGAGTTTCAAATGAACCAGGATAAAATTACCTGTGTCCTTCCATTATTATTGCGCGAGAAAAAGGAAAAACTTATTCAACCCCACCCTTATAAGTGTTTTCTCACCCTTCAATTGGTATCAGAGCTCTAGTTCTGGGTGCAAACACCTAACAGTGAAAGAAAAAGATCCAGAAGGAAAACACTATGGCAACTGAACAAAACAACAACACCAAACCTCCTGTGTTTGATGAAGAATACTTTGAATACTGGAAGGATAGACTAGAAAGTTTCTTTCTAGGTCATGATGTTGATTTATGGGATATGGTCCTAGATGGTTACACACATCCAGAAGACAAAGACGAAAACAAGATTGACAGAAAGAACATGGATAAACAACAAAAATTAGATTTCAAAAATCACCACAGAGCCAGAAATATCTTTCTGAACGCTATCTCTAAAACAAAATATGAGAAAATCACCAACAGAGGTACATCACATGACATGTTTGAGTCTCTCAAAATGACTCATGAAGGCAATGCTCAAGTAAAAGAGACAAAATCTCTAGCTCTCATCCAGAAGTATGAAGCCTTCAAAATGGAAGAAAATGAGTCCATTGAAGCTATGTTCTCAAGATTCCAAACTCTGACCGCTGGCCTGAGAGTTCTGAACAAAGGATACACCAAGGCAGACCATGTTAATAAAATTATCATAAGTTTACCCAGAAGATGGGCACCTATGGTTACTACATTCAAAGTTTCAAAATATTTGAATGATGTATCTTTTGAAGAACTTATCAGTGCATTAAGAAGTCACGAGATAGAACTTGATGAACATGAGCCTCAGAAGAAAGGTAGGTATGTCGCCCTTAAATCTATTAAAAAAATGTGAAACTAACGCTTTTCAGGCAGAAGAAGGAAACTATGAAGACTCTGTATCAGAAGAAGATGGGTTATCTTTGCTCTCCAGAAGGATCAACCAAATGTGGAAGCACAAACAAAAGAAGTTTAGAAACTACAAGAGGTCAGAAGATAAACCAGAATCTTCTAGACATAAGAAGTCAAGCTGAAGAGATATAGTCTGCTATGAATGTAAAGAACCAGGACACTATAGAAGTGATTGTCCTAAGTGTGATGCGGTGGGAGAATTGACTTGAGATTTTGCGTTTGTGTTCACAAATGTTGCGGTTAGCAAGAGTCGCCACCGACTTTTCTTTTATCCAAAAAGAAAGGTAAAAAAGCACAGGAAAGACCTTTGAGATTGTTTTTGGGTTCGGGGGGTAGATTATAAAAAGGGAAGGTGCTAGCACCCTTTTCATCCATGGTTTTCCATGGGCTCTTAGTTACTTGTTTTAGATCACTTGCTTTGATTTGACAATTGTTTGAAATGGTGCTTTGTGTGGTTTTGAAAGTATTTTGAAAAGAGGTCATCGTTTAGGCAATCTTTGTAATGATTCTCGTTCGTAAGAATGTACACAAAGATGTTTGTCTTTTGAAAAATGTTTCAATATTTTTGAAAGTTGTTTGGAAATTATTTTGAAATGTGTGTGCTTGTTTGAAAATAGCAAGGATTGTTTGCAAGTTTGATCAAGTAACTAGAAGCATCTACCTACTCAAAAGTCTTCCTTATACATTTTTATTCATTTGACATTGTTAACCTACCATTGTTTTGGTAGATAACCCTATCTTTGGATGTTAAACAGGACGGGCGTGGATCATCGTATGACCATGATAAAAATATTGCCAAGTATCTTTAGCAAGTTTTAAGGGACCAAGATCATTTGTTTTTAGGCAACCTTATGTAGCGTCATCGAGGGACTATGATCTTTTGTTTTGTTTTGTTTTGCCAAGATACCTAGCATGCATACCATGGCCATTTTGTAAGGCAACCAAGTGGGTGAAACCCTAGAGGTGCTTGTGTGCAAGGTGTTGTCATTTTTCATGCATCTTGTTTGTCTTGAATTAAGTCATTCTATTTGTTTGATTTTGTCTTATCATACAAACCCTAGTTTTACTAAACATGCATATAATACGATAAATTGCGTAAAGTAAATCTAAACTATTACAACAATATTATGGGAGGGGGGATACAAGTTTTGAATGGGGGATATTGCTCAAAATAAAACTCTAATTTACTATTACAACCCAATTGAATTTATTATACAAATAAATAAATAAACAAGTATTTAAAATATACAATAAAATGTAACTATGCAAAAATGTTTTTTGTAATTGTTTTATGTATGTAAAAAATAAATTATTTA